AAATATAAATGCAGAAATGACCATTCAAGAAGATGTTTCTACATCTGTGGAGAGGTCAAACTCCAGGCTCAGCCTTATTGCTCTCTGTAATCCAGATTCATCACCAGCTTCCTTTATTCACCCATTCAAAGGCACTTAATTAGCTGAAGGGCTTGTTGCTTTGCCTTCAAAAGCTCTCCACTCCCTCAAAGGCTTTGCTGGGGTATTGTGCTACCACTGCCCTTTGAAATCAAATCTGTTTTTCTTCTCCACGGCATTAGTGAAAGAAGAAAAAGTAATATTTCAAAAAATGAGAAGGTGGCGGGGGGAGGGAAAGGAAGAGGGGAAGAGAAAGAGAGAAAGAAAGAGAAAAAAGAAAGAGAGAGAAAGAGAGAAAGAAAGAGAAAAAAGAAAGAGAAAGAAAGAAAAAAGGAAAGAAGGAAAAACCAAGCAGAACTTCTTTCTAAGTGGTTTTAAAGATAAGTTTGACACTTAAAGGAAAAGCAGGGAGGGGACAGGATAGAAACTACAGCTGAAATCTAGCCAGCACTCGTCTCGTTAATACATAATACCATAGCTATTTTACATGTTAGGAAGATTCCTTGTGACATCTCGGAAATCCCAGATAAAACTTCCCTTTTGCCCCGCACGCCCGCAGAGGCTGCAGGCTGAGCTCCCCGGCGGCCGCTCGCAGGCGGAAACGCTGCCGAATCACAAGCGCATCCCGGCGCTCACACCGTGCAGGCTTTCCAGGGGCAGGAACGGCTGCCCTCAGCACAGGACGCCAAGGAATCAGCCTGTGGTATTAGCATTTCTACGTTTAAATTTTAAAAAGCTGTATTTTGTATTGCATTTTATTTATTTAACCTTTAACATCAAAGCTCTGGGTTGGTTTGCTCTCTATAATAGTGCATTTCATCTTCAGTTTTGTTTCTATATTTGGAGAGCTCGTGCTCAGAAGCAAGATTTTTAGTTTAATTTTTTTTTCCTTGTATATTTAATCTACCTCAGGGGCATTGGTGTTTCTCTGCAACCTATAATTTACCCTGCCAACTCAGATACTGTAGTTCTGCTTTTACCACAGTCAAGTCCTCTTCTAAATTTTTTTTTTTAGTCTTCCCCATGCTCTTCACTATCTCTAAAGCAGTCCACACACAGCAAATACAGCTATTAGTACTGCAAATTACATTGTTGTTCTCTCCGTTCCTGCTGCTACCTTTTTTTCCTCTCCCATCACATTTGGAGCTGAAGCAAATGAACCCTACCCCGGCAATCCCGTGCAACTATCCGGATGCCGGCATGAATGCGGCGAGCTCCAAGAATAGCTCGTTTGGTTGCTACAGAGCAACTGGAGCTCAGAAATGCCTGGTGCGACACACCCCAGCAAAGGCCATTTATCATTTATGCCCCCCCAACACAAGCTGTTAAGTTTTGTTTGTTTTTTAAACATTTTCCACAGGTAGCAGTGGGCACCGCTGCCCTCCTCACCAGGGCTCTGAAAACTTAACTCAGACAAACTTGGGCTTGGAAAACCAAGAGCTACTCCCCCAAACAGCTTCCCTTACACCAACCTGAATTCACCTACAAAGGTCAGGGCTCACTCCTCTGCCTTTGAGGGAGCCCTATTTTCCATTCACAGAGACCCATTTCTCTTCTTACATGGGCAGGAAGAAGCGAGCGGCTCTGGCGAGTGCCAGGCTGTTGTATCAGCAGAGCTGAGGGGAGAAGGGGGCCCAATATTTCCGACATGCCACAAGAGAAGATCTGCAAGTACAAACGGATAAGACATGATAATCAGGGGGATGCCCAGCTACTCAGCCTGCCTGGGCAAATGCAGCTTTTCCTGCATCCAGAGACTGCCAACAGCAAGTGGCTGAGTGTTAAGCCCAGTCAACGCCATGGGATGATAGTGGAGACTGTCTTTGACTGTTCTTGGGCATTTAACACCATCCTTGTGTTGTGGATTTATGAGTCCAGACCTTTGAGTGTAATTTCACCCAGCAAGCATCAGTACTACAAGAGTAAAATGAAAACCTGAACATATTCACAAGAGCAATGTTAGCGCTACCGGGCTTTACAATATCACGCAATGCAAACTGTCAGTGCTGAAATCAATATCTGTCAATGCTCAGCAATAAAGACATAGTGCTTCAGATGTGAAAAGATTAGATGTTATCAAATTTACCAAATGCCTAAGCAATATGGGATCAGGGGTGAAGACTGATTAAGCTTAAGAGATATATCATGAAACGAAAAAATCATACAGCTGGGAGGCACTAGCAGTAGCCCAGCTTTTGGAATGTATAGTCTTTGCTTTAATACGCATTAAAACAACAGCAAAAAAGCTCACTCTTTGGGTCTATGTCACAGCCGCTGCTCTCTTCCCCATGTTGCTCTGCCTGCTACAAGGATCAAATTTCATGGTTTATTGTTCTCCCTCCAACTGGCCACCATCCACATTCTTCTTTGGCACAAAGCTGCACCTCTTGCTCAAAAGAAGAGAGCACTATGCCTTCTTTTTATAAATTTTAGTCACATTTACAAACGCACACAGAGTACGGAGATGACTTTTAAACACTAAACAACATTCCAGGGAATGCTGTTATTTTTCTTTCAGCATATTTCTGCGATTGAGGTTAAAAATGAGAATTTTCCACCAGACAGTTACTAATTTTTAAAGATGCAGAGGTTGTCTCTCTCCTGTCTTCTGAATCTTTAGCTTTCTGCCTTCTAATGAAACAACTGATCCATGTTTGAAAAGCCTTGTTCATCACCAGCTTCAGTACAGAGCTGCCACTGAGACTCTAAGAAGGTCAAATTCAGCTCTCAGATACATGCTGGAAATCAGAAAAAAAAAGAAAAAAAGAAAAACCACCCTCCACTTAAGCCACTTCTTTACAATGGAGTAAAATCGACACAAACCAAGTATGGTCCAAAATCTCAGTATCCATTTTCGGGGCAAGTAAGAAACTATTGCAGACAAACAGCAGATCACAGGGTAGATTCAAGGAAACACAGTAAATATCCCAGTACTAGAACAGAAGCCCAGTAATTATAATATTTTCTCCATGTAATTTTCTTTTATTTCAACACTCAGGGCCTATTTTTTTCTTATTGCAATCTGCAATAAAGTTATCAAAACCCAACAAAATGTTCTACTACTGAAAATCTACCATCTTTCCTAGGCAGCTTAACAGACTGTAAAACTGAAGCACTGTCATTTGGTGTATAATTAATGTAATAAGTCTTACCTTGTAAAATCAGGGAGGCAGTGCATGCTTACCTAACTAGTCTGAAAACGCAAACTGCTGATCACCTGTAACCACCTTAACTGTCCTTGATCTTTACTGCTAGTCCCCAAATCATAACAATTCTCTGGCGGTGAGAATCCACTAAAAGTGCAGCCCAGGCAGGGCATTTGGGAAGTTGCTTGAAAAGGGGCTCTTTTGGCCAATTAAAGACACTCACCACAGGAATTTTTCTTCTGGTTCTTCTTGGCTAATCAGCAGTGTAGGGGTTCAGAGGTGCAAGGCAAAAATGCAGCGAGGGGAAAGCAGGGCACAGGAAACCTCAGGAATCCGCTGGGGACGCAGCAACTCCACACACCCAGCGGGGGAGCCACAGAAAAAAAAAAATATGCTCAAAGGTTATGGACACACGATCAAAAGCGATCGTGTTACTGCAGTTCAACAACTTCCCAGCCGCGGCTGGAGCTGCAGTAGGAGCCCGGGAGCGCGTTCTCCAGCCCGCTGCCTGCAGAGCAGCACCTCAAGCTGCAGTACCCACTAGCTTTTGGATCCCAAGGTGGCGAAACCCTCTACTCTGTGTTTAGGCAGGGTCCTCCTGAACACAAGCAGAGTCCTCACATATCTAAAGGAACTCACTTTCTTCAGGCCTTTCTAGAATTAGGGGCTTTTTACTGATAGCTCTTTGAAGTGAGCACTACATGCAATGTTGGTACACGTTGTATCTTTGGGTGAGCAAATGGAATAAGCTACTGGCCCTTCCCAGCAACTGCTCCTGAGCAGCTGTATGAAGCAAGGGGGCAGACAGTGGGCACAAGCTGGAAAACTGTGAGCTGATCCCAAAATGCCACAGTGGACACACACCTCATTAAGTTACCACTAAAGACCTGACATCTAGTATCCAGCCCCTTCTTTCTCATTGCTCTACTCAGAAAAGACTCCACTGAGTCACCCACACTGAAGAAATCCAACCTTGTAGATGGGACGAATTAGCAGTGAAGAGGAGCAATGAAAGCCAGGATCTGGACCGTGTCCCCAGCTCTGGAGCAGCTCCCAGTAGAGCTTCAGAGCTCACCCCCTTCTGCTGGGTGAGAAGTCTTCCCATTGCCAGTGCTTTTGCGTTTACCATCTCCTTTGGTATCACAGATCAACAAAGGGTGGGGAATGGCCCTCAGCCAAAGCAGGGCATTGCTCCTGGCAAATGCTCCTAACAGGTATTTCAAGTCTGCCTTTTTGATATTCAGGAGCTGCACTGCTTGACCTGCTGTCCGTGAAGGAGTCATATTTTAACTTTGCTTCTCAACCCACCTGGTCTTTGCTAGCCACCTAGCACGGATGAATTCGGTCAAAGACATTATGAAAAAGAATTTATCTTTTAATGCTACAAAAAAGATGATGCAAAACCCATTGTAGGAACATCTCCACTCCTCACAATATGAGCTACATAAGAACACCACCTATATATTTGGAAAAACATATATTTCAGTGGTATGAAATGTGCGCTGCTTAATGTACTCTACTTTTTGCCTAGCAGCATGATGTTGCCTGCTTCTAGAGAAGAGAAAATCCATGAATTACAGCACATTTCAACTGAAGATATACATAAAATAACTTCTGAGAACTCCAGGATAATCTTAGTGCCTTACCCTGCATACACTGTGTTCACCCCAGAAGTTTAGAGGTGTCACATTTGAAATACGAAGGAAAGTAAAAATCAGAAAATGAATAACTCAGTGTTTTCACATAACCCTTATAACATACAAGAAGTGTTCTCACCTGTCTGTTTTGAGATGACAGAGCAGCGGGCTGCATGTGTCTCTGCACCCGATGCGGCTGCATCAGTTGTCGAAACTGCTGCTGGAGGAACTGGCTGTTGTTGGTCTGCTGGGACTGTGGCGTGGCTGGAGATTGCTGCTGTTGCTGGAGATAGTGAATGAGAGACGGCTGCCCTTGTCCTGCTGTCATGGGCGACATCTTTTGAGTGGATGACTCTGAGGCAAAGTGAGACAGTGGTTTGGTGTTATTGAAAGAGAACTGGTCTTGGCTAACAGGGCTCTCATTCACCAGACCTGGCTGTAAGCTACTGGATGGCTGTTGCATAATTATGTTCATATTTTTGGACTGGTTTGGAGTCATTGATTTAAAAAGCGAGCTCTGCATACTTGTGGGGTTGCTGGCGGGGGTGATGTTAGACATTAATGTACCTTGAGGACTGAAAGGCTGCTGGTGCAGAGCTGGGCTTGACAGCTTTTCAGGCCTGTAAGGCGGAGAAGGTCCAGTGTTTGTCGAGGCCATGGTGGCAGCCAGGTTGTTCTGTGGACTTTTGATGCTGTTGGACGTCAGGGTGGGCAGCATGGCGCTCTGCGGGCTGAAAGGCTGCTGGTTCAGAGCCGGGCTGGAGAGCTTCTCTGACCCATAGGGAGGAGAGGGTCCACTGGACGGGGTGCTGCTGGAAGCCATGCTCGAGAGCAGGGTGTTTTGAGGACTCTGAATATTGTTTCCTGGCAAATTATTAGAGGTCATACTGGACACCATGACATTCTGGGGACTGAATGGTTGGTGGTGTGGGGATGATCCTGCCCTGTAAGGAGGTGAGAGACCAGGAGGAGACATAGTTGGCCAGCTGGGAGCCTGAACTTGTTGCTTGGTCGTAGATACCTGCTTGCTAGCTGCGAGCTGCTTCAGCTGCTGCGCGTGCCAGTTGGAGCTAGGCATGTTGGGCAGCGGAACTGGAAGCATAGGGGGCGGCTGGCTCTTCCCCTGGGCTGCTGTAGAGATGGGCGACGCGGCAGGTTTGCTCGAGGGAGGAACTTGGAAGCTGGCTCCAGCAGACGACGGTCTCATCTGAGGAGATCCTCCGCTGGCGGGGTTGCAGCCTGGTGAAAAGTCTTTGCTAGCAACATGGTTCTCCAAATGGGAAGTCTGCGGAGAGGACTTTGGAGTGGTACTGATGCTCGGTTGAGAATGACTCAGCCCCAGTGGCTCTTCAGCCTTGCTGCCCAAAATCTTCTCCAGATCCAGGTCATTGGGAGAAGGATCAGGCATTTTCGTCAGCTCTTCCAATAGATCTTGCAGTTCTTGGTCCACAGTTTGCAAGTTGTTTCCTTTCTCGTCATAGTGGACAATGTTGTTATTCTGTCCTGCTATTGAGCCCTTCTGGTTTATTTCTGTGTTGGGTGGAACGGGGAAAGGAGAAGCGATGCCGCTGCCGTTCAGGTGATTGCTCTCCAGGAGCACCGAGTGACCCGCTACTCCCAGGGAGGACGCGCTGTGGCTGGCGGAGAACGGGGAGTTCTGCATTTCCGGACACGCCACATTGGGATTGCTGCCTTGGCCCATGGAGAGAGTCACGTCGTCAAGACAGAGTCTTTTACTGTCACTGGGGAAAACGACATCAGGCACACCACTGGAGGCAGGAGAGCTATCATCTTCCAGTTTTCTTTTAATGGATCCCTGTAACTGGAAAAAATGAAAAAAGGAAGAAGAAAGGCTCTGTTATTGACCTTATTCCAGCATGCTCTGAAGCTCCATACTTTAACACTGAGACGGAGATACTGAAAATTAAATCACACAATTAAAAATCCAATCATGTGAGACAAATTCAATCAGGATTTAAGTGGGTGCAACTTCACTGAAATCAGAAGAGTTATAGTCACACAAAGGCTAAATCTGACATGTTGGTCTTAAAACAGATGTTAAAGCTATAAAATATTGTCTGTAATGTGAACTGTAATAGAAGTTTTTTAAATAGTTTCTGGTACCATTTCAATTACGACATTATACTCCCTGCATAACAAACATGCCAACGTTTTTATGGTAACATTTTTTAGGTCTAAACAATGGCACATTTGAATGAAATCACAGATTGAATTTAGTGACCTTTTGTCAGTAACTCAGATTAAATTCAGACCTGAGAAAACTAAATTGTTTTACATTCTTTATAGGCAGCGCATCTGAAATAACTGGCATACTTTCTAAACAAACCAAACTAAAAAAAAAAAAAAACCTCAAGTATCTAGGCAGTTTTTCAACTTTCAATCTTCCTAATTACCGACATTTCAGATTTTACAAAACAGTTAACAACAGCAAAAAAACCCTAAATTTTAATAAAAAACTTAAATTTTAATAAATTTATGGCAGTATGGCCTTCATTCTGTTGAGGAACTGCAATTCATTCATAAAAACTGAAATCTTAATGTCACTATCATGGTCATCGAGTTTGCAGAACTGTAAATCTTGGGAGAAAACCTTCCTTACACGATGCATGTAAGGAGAGTGAAACTGAAAACAATGTCTCTAACATTAATTCAGTGCGGTGCGGCAATCCCTCCTAAATATAATTATCTGTGGCTTTCATTCTTAACATCCACGACCTGTATGTCGTAGGATTAATCAGATATTAGCACTGCTGCTTCAACTTAAGAGAATTAGAATTACGTTCTTGTTTATCAGTCGAGGGAGGCGGCATTCAGGAAAGTATCTAATCGGCAATGGGAAACCCAGAGCAGGTCACTACTGCTCTTACAGTAAAGCCTCTCCCAACCCCAGTCTACAATTAGAAGTGCCACTAACCATCTAGGGCCATGATAAATATTCACATCCAATAGCAGTCACTACCATCCTACTGCCTAATCCCCGTGTAACCCTGTGAACGCGGCGGCTGCGGGGGCAGGAGTTACACGGAATATTACACGCTCTCAGTTGTGCCTAAGAGTCACTGCTGTCAATGGCCAGCGGCTTCTGTGCTCGCAGGGAACATGTGCAAGCAGTGCAAGTGGATGCACATCACGGGGCGTGCGGAAGCTGCGGGGCATGGGGCAGGAACGCGTCGAGCAGACCATACTAGTGTCTAGTTTACCTAGATATTTGGAGGAGAGTGAAAGGACACTGGAGGACAGTGAGAGGACACGCTGTGTTAATTCTACCTGATGATCAGGGTGCTGGTGGATGGAAAAGCAGGTCTGTGCACTACAGACCTGTGCATCAGGTTTGGGAAGGAATTTACCTACCCTCCATCAACAGATACAGAAGTTTTGAATGGTACTGATGGCAAAGGGACCTTTTTACATGGCTATTTTCCATGTCTCCTTAGAGAAATCCGTGCTTCTATGACCTCCCAGCTGCATTGCTTTGAAATGGGCTGTGCTTGAAAACCACTTGCAGGTCCCAGCTGGTGCAGAACAGGGACACCGGCTTCCAGTGAAACGCTCAGCGGTGCCTGACAGCTCAGCTGCCTGCTCGTCCTCCCCTCCTTGGTCAGCAGTGCTACGCGTGCTCTCAGTCTTTGCTCTGCGAGACACTGCCTTGGCACCACAGCCAGAGACAGCTAAAGCATCAGTGATCGGATTATTCCTTGGGGTTGATGGAGCCAACATTTGTTTAGCTTTAGGAAATGGAACAAGGCCTAAATCTTTTCCCAAGTGTTGGTCTAATGATGGATGAATTTATTTTCCCTCATTTTCCTTGATAAAAATAAGGCAGAGTTGCATGTTTCAACAGATGATGTGCTGTGTAGGCTGAAACATGTTGGTAGGGCACAGCTACTTATATTTAAACTCAGACATGTACTGAGAATCCTAACAGGAGCTTCACAATCCAAAATAAACACAGGCTGATCCCAAGTTGCACCCTGGGAAACATGGGGCAGGAACTGGTGCAGGATCTCCTGCTCCTGGCCAGCTGACATGCTGGCATGCGTGTCCTTGCCAGTGCTTCTCCTGCCACAGCACATTCCTATGCTCTGAGTTACTGGGGAGAAATTTCGGCTTTTTGAACACTTAGAAAACATTTTCTAACTGTTGAACTGGGGAGTGAATGTGATAGGAAAACAAACTCCACTACTCCAGACTATTACATATAAAAAGATAGAATAAAGCCATAGCTTTTGAGAGGTTTGGTTGTTCCCAAACTTGAATGGGATTTTTAAAATAGGATGCTGTTGGCTAGCCCTCCCGAGAAGCCTGGTGGGAAGAGGTACAGTGAAATTAGTTGGTTTTATATTCCCTTGGAAAGTAAGACTTCTATTTCTCTGGTGAATATTTGCACAGGGGGACCATTATACTCAGAAGAACAACTTTCCTCAGTGTAGACAGGTAGAACTCGATAAAATTCAACTGTGTTGCATTTGCTTAAGATAGATGTGACTTGAGCACAGTATTTGAGAGAGAAAGATAACATGTTTAAAATGGACTAAACAAATCACAGAAAAGTTTTGGTTGGAAGGGTCATCTGGGGATCATTAGCCTTCTGCTCCAAGCACATCACAAATGAAAAAAAAAAAAAAAAAAGACAGTATTTTACCAGGCACTTAAGTATGAATTGCCAGCCAAGTCCAGAATTCTCTCCTTGGGCAGGGGAAGTAGCTAAAAGGTTTGCTTAAATATTCCACATGCAAACACACGTGGCTGCTACTCTCCTGCAGCACACTGTGCGGTTGCTATCTCTGCCAGGAGCCTGCTACACTTTCCTCCCCAAGTCCCCAAGTCCCCTTCGAATGCTCTCCATTAACATGCTACAGTGGCAGTGTGACAAGTGCAGGGGAGAGACACGCTGCTCCCGATTGCAGAGACTGAGCTCAGAGACTTGCAGCAAGAGCTGCAGCAGATCACCGTGGATGTGTGAGGACTTTTAGGACCAGAAGCCTCTGATCTAACTAACTCGAGAATCTGCCTGTTGCAGATCCTCATCATTCTCCCAGCTACTCTCACACACCTTGAGACCCTCGCCTTAAAGCCTATGTACCGTGGACCTCCTAGGAAGGACCTGACTTACTCTAACTTTTTCTCATTTTTCTTGAAAGGACTTCTGCTGTTTGACAGTATCAACAGAAATGAGGACAGCACCAAAACATGCTCTTCCCTTTCTCAGTGTATTGGGCAGCTCTTTTTTAAATCAAACATCTGAGAAGCGAATATAAACATTTTCATAAACACGAAAGCACATGCAGTCAAGCTGGCTGGGGACTGTACATGGTAACAGTGTGAAAGCTTCACTCATACATGCCAGCAAGGACTAAGCAGACAAGCAAGGAATGGGCTCTTGTGACCTTGTCAAAATTGATTAAAATACATTAGCATGCACATGTTAACTTCGTTCAGGAATACCTAGGAAACAAAGGTGGGTCCTCCAATTTGGGGAATATCGGATTGCGAGGTCCCCATTACCTCAGGTCTGCTTTTAAAAGTGAGACTGACACGATCCCAGCACTACCACCACCTCAAAATGAAAAGGCCGTGGTTCTGGGAAAGGCCCCAGTTACAAATGAGTAGCACTGCTAGCTCATAATGGTAGTGTAACAAGAATAAATAATAACTGTTTACACTGTTCCTTCCAAGGAAGCTGTACAGCTGTGGTTGCAAACATCTAATTTGTCACACACTACCTCTTAGCTCCACGTGTGGGCAGAGCTCTCTGAGGGCTTTCTGCTGCCTAAGGAATAAAAGGCAGATGCGGCAAACTCAGCGAGACCGAGACCTGGCTCTCTACGTTTACCCACCCTGTGGAACTTGGGGCATCAAACACTTTTCCTGTGCTGGACTGGTTACGCTAGATTTCAGCAACCCACTGAAGGAGCCGCCTTGCCTGGCCGTCACTCAGCTTCCTTTCTCTCTGTAACACATAAGCTGTCCTCAGCCCCTGTCCCCGCTCTCCACGCAAGCCCGCCTGCCCCACGGCCCAGCTGCCAGCCCCCGTCAATCCTCCAGCCGTCACTTGGCCTGCACGATATCCGGAAGGGAACAGGCACCCGAGGAAGCCCCACCTGCCCCGGCTGCGCTGCCGCAGCGCTCGCCCGGCCTCTAGCAACCAGCCAGCGCTACAGCACTGGCAGGAGGGTCCTATCTAGGTCAGCGCAGCAGCGAGCGGGAGGACAAGGGCTAGGCGAGATAGCGCTGCGCCTCTGCTGTGTGCCAGGGACTCCAGCCCGACCTACAGCAAGCACAGGGCGCTGACCGCCATGTCCAGCCAGCCCGCCCGCCCCACCGGCTGCCATCGCCGAAGCTGGGCGGCAGTGCTGATTCCCGCACCCGTGCAGCCTCCTCAAGCAAGGCGCGGCCTCCTGAGGCGCTGCCATTTTAAGACCGCCTGCGTAGGGACCACACCACGCTCTCCCTTAGCATCGAGGTCAAAGTAATCGCTGGGGACTCTCTTACCTAACAGCATGAGGCATAGCAAGCCATGACTGGGATGTTCCTGCTTTACCGGGGACACCCTTGCAACCCTCTGTGCTGGCTTTGTCTGTTTACTTTGCTAAAGAAAAGCTGACCATAAAAGAAGATGGAGAAGGTGGGTCGAGTTCAGAGTTCCCCCACAGACACTGGGATTTGCTGGCAGATTCACACAAGCTTTCCACAGCAAGACACCAGCGCCTTCAAAATCTGGGGACACCAGGTCTGCCACAGGCTGTTAAGATTCAGCATATCCAAATAGTCCTGAAAGGGAGTGTGCTCAGCCTGGGGTGGAA